ATAAATACATATATTCACACGTGGAATCAGTCCGTTCACATGTGGACTGGTTCACCTGATGCTAAGGGTAGTGGCGTCATTTCGTTTGTGGAATTAATATCAAATTGGCCCCTTGGTCCTGCAGTGAGATTTCAGAAAGTTTTGGGGGCTCTTTGAGATTAATTGTCTTGTGCGGTCCTACAGTGAAATTTTCCCAAAGAAAAACTAGTTCAATCTTACCGGTTACCATGTGGTAATCTTCCACTCTCATGCACAACATATGGTAGCATTAAATTTTTTTTTTGCTATGTATTGTTATACTCTTATTAAAGAAAATCATATTCGAGGCATTACTAAGAATTAAATATGAGCACTTATACTAGTAAAGATATTCTGCATTTATTTATGAGAAAATGACAAAAAAAAAAGCTAAAAATTACTAAATGTCAAATAAAACATGTCAACAAAAATTTGTTATTATTTACAAATTCAGTGGTGTCCATATTAAATAAAGTGTTGTTACCAAACCTGATTTAGAATTTAGTAATTTTCAACTTCTTTTTTTGCCCCTTTTCCTTTATTTATTCAATACGATAAAATGTTGTATGCATTATAAATAAAATTAGAATACTAAGAGCATCAAAAAGATAATATTAAAATGTTGAATTACTATAAATAAGATTAAGATTGCAAGTAAAGGTGGCAAAGTGGGCTAAAACCCATGTGAGCTAGTCCTAAAAGAACCGTATTTTGGCGGATTAACATTTAGCTAACCCGTTCTTCTTGGGGAGCCAACTTACTAATCTCAATTTTTGTTTTTTTAACATTTTGACATGCAAATTTTTAAATTAAATTACAACTTTTATAGACTAAATTCTTCTTATTTTTATATTTAAATTAATCTCAAAACTTGAACCATGAACATATAATTCATTTTTAGTAGTTATTTTAGTATAAAAATAGTAAAACAATGAAGAAAATAAAAAATTAAATTTAGAATCAAAGTCTTTAATAAAATATAAAAATATGTGTAAATTGAGTGAAAATGATAAGAAAAATTATTAAAATTAAACTAAAAATTGTAAAAAGAATTTTTTTAAAAAAAGAAAGTGGGATAGCTTGCTAATTGGTGGGATGAAAAGAACTACATCCAAACGGTTTCTATTTATTTCAACTGAACCTGTCAGCTCTAATTGCAATTAGAAAATAATATTATAATGCTGATGCTACTTCACGCTAAGATAATGCTAATGATTCTAATTAACAACTAAAATTTAATTTTAAAATATAAATTTTGCTCATAAATTCCTGCACATATTCATCTCCTCATTCTGTTTTTTCCCCCCAGAAATTCATCTCCTAATTCGAATAATGAATATTCACAATTGAATGTAGAGTACATCCAGATCCATGGCATATCCACACAGATAAACCACAATTAATGAAGAGATTAGCATCATAAATACGTTGATATTTTCCCTCAATTAACGTATTTACTGAATTAAACTCCTAATTGACTATAAAAATATCAAAATGTGCTCACACAGTTAAACCCTAATTTGCTTGACTGAAGCAGAAGATGGAGATGAGATCGAAGATGGCTCTTCGCTTAGCACACAATTGTTGGATTGTTCTCTCAAAATGGGTCTCTTTCTGCTTTTCGCTGGCTTCTGCCATAGCTCGTATCTTCTAGAGCCTTATTTTTGTATTTGTAAAAGCTTTTTTTTCAAGTGTTTCTATGCCTTTTTTTATTGGTAATTAGCAAGAAACTTTGTAATAAACTCTATCTAATTTTCTAGTACAACGTTTTCATTTTATCTGTTTTTCAGTTAACTTGAATTCTAGTTGAGTTTATTTTTCCGTCCTCGCCACAATTCTGTTTTAAAATCAAAGGATAAATACTAATATTCTGAATAGTTACAGGCAGAATTAATAAAAACCGAGCAAAATTATTGGCTTCCCTCCCCTCACCTCCTTTTATGACATCTTTCTTTCTTTGTTCTTTTAAAATTAATTTTTAATTTTTTTAATTTTTAACTTACTTATAATTTAGTCTTTTAAGTATGACTAGACGTAACTCAATTTTTAAATTTTTGATTTGCTTAAAACTCAATATTTATTTATTTTTTCTTTCTAAGAAAATGATTCTTATCAACCTGCCTACCATCTCTCGCTCACTTATTGGTATTGGTATTGACAATAATTCTTTCCATTCCACTCTGATCGAGTCTTCATGCCCTCTTCTTTCATTATCCCCTTTTTTTTTATATTATTTTTTCATCTTTATCCATAATCATCATTTTATACTCTGTTTTCTAAACTCCTCCTCTATCAACTTTATTATCATATCGCTGCAAATGCCTACCACCATGAGAAGTCAAACTCACCATATTTTTGGCCTCAAGAAATCTCTTGCAACTGGAAAGAAAAATCTGCATACCATAATAACATTTTTAGAAAGAAACAGATCGTCATCACGCCTTTCTTAATTCTTAGAAAAATCAGCTAACAAAATGGACGAGGCAATTTCGGCAACAGCAGGTGTTCCTCTCTGAGCATATATAGCTTACATAACGGCTATGGTGGCTATCACGATGGTCTTAGAAACTTTAATCAATAACCTTAAAATATGATGAAGGGGTCGCCAAGTTGTAGGGTGTGTGTTCTTCATCTTAATATTCATCTTCCTCTTTCATTATGATGATTGAGAAGGAATTTAGGAGGGTATGGAGACCAACCTAGAGTGGAATGGAAAGGATTCTTGTCAACAGTGGTAAGTGAGTGAGAGAAGGCAAGGAGGTTGAAGATGATGGGAATGGTGACCTGACAACAACGTAAGCACTTATTACGATGACTCAAGTATGAGTTGGACTAATAATGGTTAAAAGAAGAAAAAGGCATGTAATAAGTTTCAGGGAAGTCAAAAGTTCAAGAAGTGTTGACTCATATTTGAGGGATTAAATTATAAATGAGTTAGGAGTTAAAAGACAGATTAATCTTTCTTTTTCTTTTTTTATGAACTTTATCACATCTTTCTGGTCATTCACCTAATATTTTGACACCAGGGAAACGGAAGAGAGGGGAGAGAAGATAAAATTTTAATGAGTTCAATTTAAAAAATTAAAGAATTTCGGTTAAAAACCTTTAATTAATTTTTATTGTTGTTTTATCTTATAATTTTTCTCTATTAAACTTTTAGAAGCCCACTTTTTAAATTTTTTTTAAACCAAGTTCATTCAAATTTTTTTCTCTCTCCTTCTCTTTATTTTCCTTAATACCACGAAGGGGAGGGTAGGAAAAATAAGTCCTCCTCTCATTTGGTTAGAACTTTTGAAGGAAAAAGAAGCCAAAATCTCTCCTACTCCCATTTTATTCTAACATGTAAGAGTAATATGATAAATTGATTATTGTTATTCCTTCCCTTCTTCTCTTGAACCAAATAAGGAATAATTAAATATTTCTCTCTTCCTTTCCTTTTAATCACACCAAACAAGATAAAGTTAAAACTTAAAACCTCTAGTACCCTCCTTCAAATCAAACAGGCTTTTAGGGTTTTTCCTAGCATGATTATGTCACGTCTCAATGGCAAATTGTTTGTAAATTGCCTATTATCGAAGTAATGAGATTCAAAACAACATCGTCTTCTCCTGAAGATGCCAACCAGGCAACTGCCTAAAAGGTTAAGTAAAAGTTGCATTCTTAATAATTAGACCAATTTTAGTTGGTTGAATGTATTTTATACTAACTTAAATAATTGTAAGATTGGTTGTGTAGATTCAGCCATGCATAATTTTCTTCCATGAGTATTTACTAAAATAACTGAGTGTAAGTTTTCTTCCACGAAAGCGCTATATTTTTAATTATATGCAGAAAGCTTCAATCACGTGCAATAATTTTCCTAGATTAGAACCTCTCTTAGTCCCTTCTCATTCTATTCCCTTCTCCTTTCTCTTCTAACTATAAGATCAATATTTAAATGATCCAGATTTGATTTTATAAAAAATATTTTTTTATTTTTTTATTATAGTATTACATTACTCATATCAATCTTTTGCCATTTAAATTAAACTAATTATTTTTTAACTCATAATTTAACATTTTGATCATAATTTTATAAAGAATTAAATATGGACCATTCAAATATTAATCTTATGGTTATAAAAAGGGAAGAGGAGGGAAGAGAATGGGAAGGAAATAAACAAGGTTCTTCTCCAGTAATTTTCCGGGGTTGCTAATTAAAATCACTCAGGGGAGTTCTCCTTTTTTGGTGAATTAAAAAAAAAAAAAGAAATTCTCTATTCTTGTCATAGATATAGTTGCTTAAACCAATTTTAGAGACGTGTCCAGCTAGTTTCTTAAACAAGTGATTTTATAGCAATTTTTCTTTATTTTTCATTTTTGGTTATAAAAAAGTTTAGGTGGTCCCGAGAGCTCGTCAAGCCATAACATATCTCTAGACTCCAAGAACCGCATCAAACTGATGACTTTATGAGTTATGAATTAATTTCTTATCTACTAGATGAATTCTTTTTGGTTTTTTAATGAAAATAAACATGTTTCCGGAAAAAGAAATGGATCCTGATCCAATGAAAGCGCATTAGCCGATAATTTATCCACTTGCCCAGTATTTTTTTTTTAAAGTGAAAACTGGGTTCTATTAAAAGCCCCGGTAGAAATTTTTCACACGACCTACTAGTATTTCGGGCCATGCCAAAAAACAGAAAGGAAAAACAAATATTTTCATGGCTTCGTTGTGCCTCGCCGTCGAAGCCGCCTCCACTGATTCCGTTGAAGCTTTTTCCTTGAAATCTGTTGAGCTTCTGCCGCCGAGAATCCATTTACTACGGTGAGATTCCGTCGACCTTGTCGAGCAACAAAAGGGGGCACAGGATTTGGGTGAGAAAAAGAAGCTGAGGGATTTCTTCAGCGCACATGAACTAGATGCTCTCTCTTCACTTTGTTGCTCTCGCGCTTTTCATATCAGTGGTGTTTTCTTCTTGCACCTTTAAGTAAGATAATGATTTTTTTTTCCTTGCTTTGCTACGAAGATAAAGAGGGATTCAGAACGCAGCCATTAAAGGTAATTATTTTTTTCTTGGCTTTCCCGCCTATCATCCTAATAATATTGATGGTTGAAAAATGCACTTAGTTTGGTTAAAAATAATAATGCTGTAATTTTGAGAATGGGGTTGTGATGCCGGTAGCTGAAATTTCAATTTCGTGACGAAATGCCAACAGTATTAATTCTGTGATGAGTATTATGAGGTTTAATTCTCTGATATGAATTTTAAATTTTGAGTTCGGATTGCTAGTTTATCTATTATCGATATAATTAGTTTTGATTATCATATATGAATTTTGCAGTAGCATCAATTCTGTGTTTTATTGTATCTGGTAAATGGTTATATGGGAAAAATCTCCTAAACAGGTTGGGCAATATTGATGGCATATGTGAAATGGTTTAAGATAACATTTTGGGAAATATATAAAGATTTTCATTCTATTGAGCAAAATTTACAGCTTGGAATTTCCCTCCATGGTTGCAAATAGCCAGAATAGAAAAAAGGAGGAAAAAAAGGAAGAAAGAAAGAATGGAATAATCAGAGGCCACAAACACAACCAAAACGTGACCTTGATGACCATATTTATGAATCATTTGTAGATTACAATAACAAGCAAGAATTTTGACATTCCTTTGTCCCCCATCCTGGCCTACTTCAGTACAATAGTTTCATCTTGTAGTTATGCTCGAGTACGCTTTGCAAAGGAACATTACTTTATAAAACGCGCAGACCTTTTAGTGTTGAGTGAGGATTGGTGCATGGGCAATTCTGTGCAATAACCTTGGCATTGTAGAGATTGTAAGATCTTGCAACACTGCGTATCAAGCAAAAATAGACAAAAATAAGGATAAGTTGGATTACTTGAAGAGGAATAGAACACTGAAAACCTTCTTCAGGTGAAGAACATATCAATCAGAAGATAGCTTCCGACGCTGTGTTTTAGTGCTGGAGGATTTCATTCTTCACCTCAGTCATTGCTTCAACCAAGAGAAAAGGCTCTGCCATATCACGATTCATTAAATGCACTGCTTTGTCCCACTTTAATGGGTGGTGTGTTGACTTGTCAAAATGTATCAATGCATGTGTTGTATCAAATGTAAAATACATAAGAAGAGAGTTATAGATAGGTGGTTAGGAGTCTGTTATGCATCCAAGTCTCTTAGGAAGTTTAGGCAGTTAGTTAAGTATGAGTTGGATGTGGGAAATCATTACACAGATCCTTTATAAACAGTGGAGTGTGTAATCAATTGTCTTATGCTTAATCTGATTGTCAAGGTATCATTTAGTGAAACTCTCTCTCATCTCTCTTCTCCTCTCCTTTACTCTTCCTCTTTTCTCATCCTTTCCCTATTGTCCTTACAATAATACATCAGTATGATACATTTTGACAAGCCCAAACATAAACTGGGAAGGGATTTGATTTGTTACGTTTAGTCATTTGAACCATTTACATAGAAATGAGGAAGTACATTTTTCATGTGTTCCAGAGTTTAATATTGAATACCATCTCTTTGAACTCAATAAGCTGTATTTGAAACACATATAATTTATCTGCCCGAAATAACCACTTATATATAAATGATATGGGTTTGCTTTTGTCCCACTACATGAAAAGAAAGCCTCTAATTAAATTCTTCACTTGCCAGTATATTGTGGATTTCTGGTTGGTCTCAAAGGCATTGGTTTTCAGAATTTGGATACTGATATGCTTTAAGAAATTCAACCTGATTGCATTATTATCCACTGATGGCACCTTTGGCTGCTTGTACGCAAGTTGAAAACTTTTGATCATGGGGTTTATTCATTGAATGCTAATGTCAAAGGGTGGTAAGATATATAAATCTGAAACCTCAATATTTATTCGCTAGCTAACATTTTTGTGAGAAATGAGGAAAAGATGCCTCATTGCTTGATGTCCCTGAAACACAATGGCCTATCTATATGCATAGTTTTCCTTGCAGCTTTTGAAACCTACCTGATTATGTCCTAAATGAATTATGTTCACCAGTCTAGACTTTAGGTCTTTGAAAAGTTGCCTCGTAGTTAATTTATCATGTCCTGTAAATTTTTCTTGTATCAGTGACTAGGTGTGGGAGCTCACTTTTTTTGTCCCCCTCCTGTTTGATATGGGAGTTTTCTTGACTTACACTAAGAATACAGGAATATGGAAAGATGCTGGATGAAAACACCATGGTTACTTCCAATATTTTGATTCTTGAGATCTCTTGTCATGCTTGAATTCCAAGAATGCTGGGGTTGGTTTGTGTGGTTTAGATCAGATTCAGATTTATATGCCTGACTAGACGGATTTATATGCTCTGATTTTGTTTTTATATGGGCATTACCCAACCACCTAGTTTTTAGCAATTTTGCTCTCACAGGGTGTTTTACGGCATAATGAATAATATCATATTCTAGAACCTTCTTTGCTTATTTCAATTCTTGAAGGTATTTACTGTTTTTCTGAAATAAGATGTCAAATATTGGTATGCTCAGCATGTAACTCATTGTTTCTAATGCCGTGGAACGTTCCCCATCTCTTACACTTTGTTCTTTTATTCAGAATTTGCCATCTCATCCTGAAGTGTGAAATAATAGCATATCAGAATCAACTCAAACAAATTAGATTAATAGCTATCATTAAATGGAAGGATCAACAGAAACTATTGCCGTTGATGATTGCGCTTTGAATGGAGGCTGGACAGTTGTTTTACCCCGCCGTGGAAGACAAAGGAGAAGATCTAACAAAGTTGAAACTTTGAAAGAAACAGAAGAACCATGGACTCCAACAGACGTACAAATTGATCCCTCCACAGAAAAAGCCTTGATGCAAAAAATTGAAAGGAGCATAAATAAAGTTGAGAGCTCTCAATTCTACCATAGTCTTCGAGACCAATTACAAACCCCACCAATTTCTGAACACTTGCACAAGGTCTTGGGATTGGAGTCAAAGATGCCAATGGTAATTTATGGTATTGGCAGCCTTGAATCATATGAGCCCCCCAGATTGCAGCTTAGTCTGGCAATATTAATGAAAAGAGATTTTAGATGGATTGAAGATATTGACGTATTTGATCCTGTTCTATCTGCAACTGAATCTCGGATTTTGGAAACTCTAGGCTGTTCTGTCTTACCATTCAATGAACATGGAAGGAGACAGGCTCTAAAGCCAACTGTGTTCTTCATGCCCCATTGTGAGGCTGAGTTATACAACAACCTCTTGCAAGCTAATTGGGAACTGAATCTATTAGGTAACATGGTCTTGTTTGGGAATAGCTTTGAAACATACAAGCAAGTTTCAGAGTTTAACTCACCCGTTTTGAACTCAATGGGACATATTTTGGCGGCTCGAAAATTTACAAATGAGTTTAGCATAAAAACAATTTCTGATGACTATTTTAATGCTTTTCATGATTCAAGTTGGCATTTTTTCAGCCCTTTTTTAGAGACTGAGCTGCAATTTATGAGTTCTTGATGGAGATTATTGGTACTTGGTAGGCATGTGAAGGGATTGTACTGTAGTTTGGTTTTGAGCCATTTTAACCTTTAACTAGCTAAGAAAACACGATAAACATTTCTGTGTACCTCTCTCTTGAAAGAAATATTATTTTGGATCGTTCTCTTTCTTTGACAGGTGCTTGTGTGATTGTGTCTAGGATTCATTTTCATAAATATTAATCATTTGGATGCGTATATCTAGTGCAGCTTTTTCGCTGCGCCTGACATTTTTAAGCTTATGTAAATATGACTGAATTGAAATTTTAGTCTATGAAAGGGGTGCTTTATCTCAATTTAACGGCAAAGTTCAAGGGCTTTATATTTTGAATTGTAATATATTTTAATATCATTCTCACAATAAACCTGATTAAATACATGCATGATATAGTTTGTTGTAAAAGTATATATGCACTTGTTGATAGTTTGGGAGTCAACAAAAATACATTGCCGGTGGTGGTCATATCACCTAAAGTGGATGGGACGATACCATCTTTTAGGTCCAGGTAAGCCATGTTTGATTAAAAAATTATTTCTTTTAAGCACATTCGTCCAGTTCCATAATTACTCTAGGGACCTAGTTATCTTTATTTTTTATTCTTTTTTCCCTTTTGACCTGAGATATTTTATTCTCAATTTATGTTCTTATAATAATAATAGTAATAATAATTTAACATTTAACTCAATTAAGTGTAAAATATTCGTAAGATGCAGAACTCATGATTCCACATTTTTGTTGCCAAGGAATTGACAAAAACGTTAGTTTAAGGTTTATTTTTTTCTGTTATACTCCCTCCGTTCCTTATTATAAGAAACATTTGATGCTTATAGCATGTTCCTAAATATAAGAGACGCTTAAAAGTTGTCTCTACTTTTTTGTGTTGATTTCCTATTTTACCCATATTTATTGTCTCCAACTCACACTCTCTCTCCTTCCCACTTCTCTTTCTTTTAAGAATTTACTATTGTTCTCTCTCATGCTCTCTCTCCTTATTAATGAGGGTATTTTTGAAAAAAAAAATATACTTTTTACACATTTATTATTCTTAACTAATTTTAACTGTTTTTTTGATCAACGTAATTCGGTTATTCGTCTCTTATAATAAGGAACGGAGGGAGTAATTTTTTCAATGAACGTAATGAAATTTTTTAAAAAAAAAAATTGGCCCTGATCGATATAGAGGACAATGGTAATCAAAATTTAAATTGGATTTGAAATATTAAGTAAGTATTAGAAAATATTGGATAATAATGACTGTACAAAAAATCCTAATAAATTATTAAGATAAATAATTCTGATCTTATATCCCTATATAAGAAACAACACTATTTATATAGTCGTATTTCAGACTTTGTGCAGAGTATAAAGGTTAAATCCTCACCTAGTTTTATACATGTATTGTGTACATTTAAATTTGATCTAAGACGCGCGCTTATTATATCTTTGAGAGATATTTGAATTCACGAACCCATGCTTAAGAATAAAAGAGAACTTCTCCACTTCTTTATTCTCATTATTAAATCAACTTTAAACTATTGAAATTTAATACCTTATAAAATAAAAAAATAAAAAAATATTTTAATAAAGATACAAATTTGTGACCTATTTAGATCAAATTTTAATCATTTAAATTTATTTTTATATATTTTGTTATTTGATATTAAAATAATATTAATTTTATAAAATGTTAAATCTCAACCGATAAAAGCTGGTCTAGTGACAAGAATAAAGAAATGGAGGGAAGTGGAGAGGTTCTCTTCTCTTCCCATCCTAAAATGTATTTGAGCTTCAGGGCCATCTTCAAATGTATAATATCCTAAACTAAATAAATTCTAAAGTTTAGTTGTATTAAGCATGTCAAAATATTTTTTCAGCAGTTTAAAATATCATTGTTTGCTTAAAACTTGTATTGGTATCTCCGCATGATGGATTTTTTAAAGTAAATGTTTGGATATAATTGGTATAAAATTTTGGATTAGAATTTAAGGTTATGTTTCATCTAGTACCCAAAATATATTTCTTAACAATACTCAGTGTTCTTGAGTAATATTTGACATATCAAATAAATAGTCTGGACTACTATTTTGGGAAAATGACAGGCAAAATGATTCTTGAATTTCAAAATTTCCAAGTAGTCACATAAACAAACAAAATCGTAGTTTAGATATAGATGACTAAATTGGGATTTGCAAATTTACTGAAATGACCAAATTGCTTTTTATTTTTTTTAAAAAAGATACTAAGCACCCTAACCAGCCTACCGGTCACTGAAGCTTTAGTCACGCGCCGAAGTTCTAGCATGCCATTGTCACCAGAGCCAACAGCTAGTCGTCGGAGCTCTAGTGGCTGGCGACTATTATTTTTGGAAATTTTTACAATTTCAGTAACATAATTAACAAATTTTTTAATGCTGTTAAACAGTTTGGTATAATAGTTGAAAATTTAAAAAATGGCATTTTTACAATTTTAGTAACAAAGTTAACAAGTTTGATATAACAATTAATAATAGGTTTTTTAAAAACTTCAAAAAGTGATATTTTTACAATTTTAATAACCTAGTTAACAAGTCATGTAATGATATTAATAACTCTCATAATACCATTGACAATTAATAACTCTAATAACTAGTCAGGTAATAATATTAATAATTCTCATAACTATAGTGATTGCCTAATAAATGAAAACTTTTGATATACAACTTTCATAAAGAGCTAATATTAAAAACATTAGCCTTCATAGGGAAACTTTGTTAATGGTGTTAGAAGAGTTGTTAATACTGTTATATGATTTGCTAACTGCGTTATTGAAGTTGTAAAAATACTACTTTTTGAATTTCTTGAAAAACCTGTTGTTAACCATTATACCAAATTTGTTAATAACGTTATAAAACTTGTTAATCTTGCCACTAAAGTTGTAAAATTTCACTTCTTGAATTTTTTTAAAAAAACGTGTTATTAACTGCTATATCAAACTTATTAATAGTGTTAAAGAACTTGTAAACTACATTATTAAAGTTATAAAATCCCCAAAAAAATAGTTACTGCCTACCAAAGCTCCGTTTTCGACCAGCTACTAGAACTCCGATATCTGCAACCCACTTGAACTTCGGTAGCCGCCACTGGCACCGAGCCTTTGGTGACCTATTAGCTGGTGATGGTGCTTGGCATTTTGGGGGGAAAAAAAATAAAAGGCAATACGGTCATTTCAGCAAATTTGCAAATCCCATTTTGGTCATTTATATATAAAAATAAAATTTTGCTTATTTAAGTGATCATTTGGGGATTTTGAAATTGAGGAATCATTTTTCTCTGTCATTTTTGCTACTTTTTTAGTATCACTCAGTGTATTTTGGTTTGGAATGAAAAACTTGCAAAGTCTAACCACTACACAATGAAACCACCAGCAAAGACTCAAATGAGCAAGGAACTTTTATCATCCTACATTTCCCTCCCTGTAACTCATAAGATAGAGGCTGGTCAAACACTTTGTAATTTCCTCCTAAGTTGCGCGCAGCTTTTGCTAAATGGTCGAACACTTTGTAATTCATAAGCTAGAGGTTGGTCAAACTCTGCGCTCCCGATGATGATTTGCCAATCTTTGCATAACAGCATTGTGCTTCCTCCACCACATCATGATAAGGGTGGCTATTGTCGCGTCTTCTAAGAGCTAAATTAACAGCCTCCATACAATCTGAAATGAGGTAAGAAGTAACAGCCTCCATACAATCTGAAATGAGGTAAGCCTTCTTCAAATACTTAGTCCAGCTGAGATATAAGCCTTAAGTAAGGACAATTTTTGATGTGATCTTACTCTTAAAATATTTTCTCACTATCAATGACCATCCTAAATTTATGATGCTGAATGCTATTAAAAACATAATTTAAGATGTTGTATCAAAAAATTTACTAAGAATACTTAATGCTACTAGAAAAATATCTTAAGTTATAGAATGCACTAAAAATTAATTTATCATATTGAGCACTATTACAAAATATATTTTAAAGTGTTAGATACAATTTAACTCTAGAATTTGTTGGGTTTGGCCTAAGTTATTACATATGATATCCGGTCCTTAATAGAAGAGCTAGTTGACTAATTTGAATAGATTAAAAAAATTAGTTAAATTAGTTATTTGTAATAAATATGTGTTATTTTTTTTCCTTAAAATATCTTTGCTAATCAAGTATATTAGCTAAATTTACCATTATTACAAAGATCATCTTAAAAAAATAAATAAATATGAGAGAAAATAAATTGAAGTCTTATATTTATGACCAAGATAAAAATCAAACAAGTTCTTATTTAAGCATACGAGGTAGCATATAAAAATGGTTTTGAAACACAAATAATGTTTCAAATGGGGGTGCAAATAACAAAATTGATATATTCCTCCGGCCTTAAATATAAGATTTCTTTTATAATATAAGACTCTTTTTGTAGTGTAAATTATACTATAAAAGGGGTCCTATTAATTGTAATTTTTTCAATTTTTTTTTTAGTGAATTTTTCCAACTTCAGCCTATGCTCGTACAACTAAGGAAACGACAACGTTCTGGGAATGAGCAGCGTGCACCGAACGAAGTCTCAATTTTCTCGGTCAAAATATAAGAACCCTAGTTTGTGTGAATTAACGCGGCATGTGAACTTCTGGTTCTATTAGTGGATTTCTAATCCATTGGATATCTTTTCTATTTCTCCTGTTCTGATTGTCGCCTGGGTTAATATCGTCTGAAGAAGCTTAACTTATTGGTTCTTTGACAGATTTAGATGTGTTTTCCCCTCGGAAGAGAGCTTACCTAAATAATGGCTTCTAGAGCTATTTTGAAGAGAAGGAGGTTTATTGATCATTATGTCAATATCTGCGCACGTTCTATTATAAATTCTCAGTGGCATGTGATTGCAGCAGACAATTTGAATTCAAATCTTCTTCAAACCTCTTCTTTGAATGCTCCTACAAGTTTCAAGCACATACAAGATTATGAAAGAATATCATTGCCCCAAGGAGAATCCTTCAACCTCTCTGCACTGGGACAATATAGACGAAGATGCTATGAAATAACAACATCTGTTCCCTCTGATCGTAGATTGGTGTCGAATGCTCCGACACGTACCAGATGCTTGTCACAATCCTTGCATAGTTTTTCCACGGCGGCTGCTAAACAACCTGAACTCGGTAATGACGATGAGAAAAGTGATGAAATGGCCGCAAAGAAGAGGAAAGAAGCATCTCCAGAGGAGTGTGATCAAGCTGTTGAAGGCTTAAGCACTGTAAAAGCTA